AAGTGCTTCGCACTTTTATTCAGTTTGTGAGTAAAAAGGCAGAGTTTACACATCGATAAATTCTGAAAAAAGAACGTTTAATCCTATAATGCATACCCTCTTCTCACAAACACTCTATTGGTGAAATTTGAACTCATTTGGGCAAAGGATAGAGAACACACTTCGGACAAATGAAATGAGACGGAAAGACATACAGACAGAAAAATATAATATAGAGTCCAAAGAGAGTTGGGCCCTAACAACTTAAAACCAAATTAACATTTCTCTCTGCGCAGCACAGTTAAGGTAACGAAAAGGAGGAGGAGCCTAATTTGTTCGGGAAAACTTTACTATGATATCATACAAAATATACGTCATACAACATTTCTTTAAAATGCCACAAAGTGAGTTGATTTACTAATTTAACCAGTAAGAAATCATCAGACTGCATAAAAACTTACTACAGAGTATTGTTTTGTCGTTAGTTAAATCCCACGTAACAAGTTATGAACAAGTCACTGATTGCAATACACTTGTCAATATAACGTCATTTCTTACAACGTGACGTATTTTGTATGCAGTGAGAGACAGGTCAAGTAATATTTTCTCAACAAAATATGTATTCTCAAAATAAATAAAATATTATTTACAGATATTCTATGGGTCAATAACTTAATGTCTAATACTAATAGCGCAATTTAATGTCTTTTTCACTATTTTATTAATATATTTTCTGTACAATACGTATTAAAATTAACACTACCGTATATTTGTATGCAAGTACATCGGATAGTAATGTGGGGGTCTTAATAAATCGATCTTGTACAAGGGCATACACTCTATGGATCAAAGGAAGCTTTTACATTTCAACTCTAGTACTATAAAGGTATCTGAAAAGTGCTGCGATCCTGATGAAATCATAAAAAAACAATTTAATTATATTAATATTTCATGCCACTGACCAGCAAAAAATATCATTCGGTCATACAAATATAATTTTAACAATGAAATTGCAGGATTTAAACAGGATCGCAGCACTTTTTAGAAACTACAATTCGTGTTGAAAATATTTATATAATAAACTTGGAAATTTAAATTGCATGCCCTTGCATTAGTGACATTTATATATAACATCAACACTGCAAGTCAATGTCCTATAATCGCGTGACTGCCGTATCACGTGGCTAGTCTAAATATAAAATATAACCGTCCTCGATATGTAGTTATTAATCATAATTGCAATTATCCGATATAAATAATACACTCAAATTAATCGCTATCCCAGTTACGAATACATTTTTAAATTCAAAAAAAACATTTAACGTGAATCTTTAACGTTGTTTCATCATTGAAATATCGTCGAACATTCAACGTTAAAATTATGTTAAAATTATGTTGCGGCTTCAACGTTCTGGCAAGGCAACATTGATATAACACCAAACATTCAACTTTGAATATAATAATATTCAACTTTCTATCAACATTGAAATATCGAAGAACATTTAACGCTAAAAATATGTTGTAGATTCAAATAGAGAAAAAACACCAAACATTCAACTTTGAATATAATAATATTCAACTTTCTATCAACATTGAAATATCGAAGAACATTTATCGCTAAAAATATGTTGTAGATTCAAATAGAAAAAAGAGTTGGAGATTCCATATTGAAATCTCAACTTTAAAACAACGTCGAATTATGGTTGCTCAACGTTGCAACTTAAATTTCACTTACTTTCAACGTTGAAACAATGTTGTGACCTGCTGTGGATACGATCCATTACACATGTCATATGTGAAATTGATAATCCATTGTCAGGTCTAGACCACTACCTTATATGGAAGGCAACTTTCAACACGTGACAATACCTTCGTTACACCCGTTCGCCAATCAAGTGAATGAGTCCGAAAGCATGACACTCTAGGACGTGTTTACGATTCAATGGCAACACGTGGTTTTGATCGATTTCTGCATAATATTTACTTCGCCACCGAAAAAACCGTAGAGCTTCTTTGTCACTTTTTAAGTCCGAAATTGAAAGATTACATTCTCAAGACATTGCTCCATGCTCACATTTAATACTGGAGTTGTTTTATATCATTAATAGTTGCACCGAAAGTTCGAATAATTTGCAAACGCTTTGATGTTTGCATTTACATAAAAAACTTTTTGGTAATATTTAGGGGTTTAATAATAATAGCGCACATTGTACTGCTGTCTAAAACTATGTACAAGTATATCACGTGAGAAAAACTCAATGCCTTAACGAGACGAAAACCACTACATGTATGTCTCTTCGAACAATTTTTTAGGACTATGCATTATAAGTTGATATATACGGCTTCATAAAGCAAATTTTGTAAATGTGAGCATAAAAATAAAAGATTATACATCATTTTATATATTTCTTCCATAAATCTCACCGTTCACGGTAGCTCAGTCGGTAGAGCGTTCGCTCCGTGATCGGGAGGTCGTGAGTTCGTATCTCGGCCGCGACTGACCTAGTCGTTAAAATGGGTAGCAACTGTTCCTTCGCCATGCGCTCGGCACTTTGAAGTGAAAGTTGCGGGTCCTTCGGATGAGTCCTTAAAAACCGAGGCCCCGTGTCAGCGGCAGGCGTTGGCACGATAAAGATCCCTCACTGCTCAATGGCCCTGAGTGCCGAGTATAGGTCAAAATTTGAAGCCCTTCACCGGCATACGGTGACGTCTCCATATGAGTGAAAAATTCTCGAGAGGGACGTTAAACAATATACAATCAATCAATCAATCCATAAATCTCCAAAAAGAATTGAAAATATAAGTTTCCAAGGGTCAATTCAAGTTGGCCTTTATTTTCAACACAGCTGAGTACTTGTAGTAGCCCACAATGCATTGCGACCCATTCATCAGTGGGTAAAGTAAACAGATAGCTAATTTACATGCAAATTTATTGCAACGACAGAAGATTTAGTGGTCTAGACCTGATTGTGTACACCCCTACTAATGTTATTGTGATTTAAATTCAAGACACGTGGTTTGAGTTTACTATTCAAAGGTTATAGGGTAGAACCGGTGTTATAAATATAATTGGCAGTAAACAGGAAATTGCTATAGTCTGTTTCTTCTAAAAACATTTCCTGGGAAAAATGTTTCCACACCTTTCTGAAAGATTTTCATGATTTTCAACAGAAATGGGTGGCAAAAGGGGTTGGTCGATTAAAAAACATATAATGCATCTTATCATAGTTTACTGCAAAAATACAGATCACTAGCGAGCAATACGCTAGAACTAAAAAAATGTGCAATATCATCTACATTGACAGACCTTAATAGCCTTATATGGCTATTGCTATTAATGCACACAGAGGATCTTACCACGAGCAACTGATCAATTTTTGATTGAATACGTTTACGTCAAATACATGTTTACAATATACTTCGTACACATGGTCCAGGTAAATCTATAATCATGTCATTGGAGTGCAAAATAAAAAAAAAATTCTTATGAACAAAATGCAAACATTATAAACTATGAAAAATATCACGGGTTTTTAATTTGTTGTAACCTAGAGAATAATATATAAAATTTATACGAAGTTAGTGTCAAGTTCAGAACACCAGCACTTCAATGGAAAGGAAAATGAGTAGCTTCTGGTAATAAAAACATTTAAATGACGAATATTTTTACATAACTATACTTGTGATCATGTGTGTTGGCCAGGGAATCCACCTGACAATTGTATTCACTGATAGTACAATAAAGGAATTTATCAAGCGTAAAATTCCTGTAGTTTTCGTATAGTAAGCAATAATGCAATTCTCATTCATCTGATTTGTCAGTTAAAGTCACATTGGTGCCTAATTTGCTAATCTGACACGAAAAAATATAGTCCCGGTTCTCATGAAATATTTGTCAAAAAAGAACTTTTAATTCTGTTTTCATGAGAGCAGAAAATTGTAACGTAAAGAAAACTTATAATTTAAACTTGAATGAATTTAAGAAAGATCGATTGAAGTACATTTCTACAGTACAAAATGATATTGTAGGGTGGTTAAAACTAAAACGCAACATAACTTTTCTGTTTACCATGTCTCCACGTGCTACTCACTTCCTAGCCATATTTCCGTGAATAATTTACCCCGAACTCGCTGAAGTCTCGCTAACGCTCGTCAGAGCCACTGTGAGAGCTACTCCGAACTCATCGGGTTTTATAATTTGCAGAACACCAAAAAAAGGTTCCTAACGCATTAGTAGGTGCGGTGTAGTTAAATTCTCACTTCTGTTAATACATAAAAAAATATCTGACCATTTTTGCATTCACATTCATTTTCCTTAGCTCCGGATATGAACATGTTTTAATTTTAAACATATTTAACCCGGGATGTTGTTAGATAAAAAAAAATAACTTAACGATATGATAATGGTAATGAGTTTCGATGTGAGGAATAAATTTTTAGTGAGTGTCAATATTTGTTTCTCATTTAACTGTTTTAGGACGCAGACCCACCGATACAATTTCTTTTCATAATAAGGGTTGCTTGGTAGAGGTAACGGGATTGAAAATAATGGGAAAAATAGTTTTGTACTCCAAATATATTGGCAGATGGCGGTAGGCAGAAGAATGCATTAAAACGTGGTTTAATATGGCAAAGAAATTGGTGTGGAATTGTACAGGAGGAAGGGGTTCATTACGGATCTAGGAATAAAGTACTTTCCTGCTAATATAAAACGTTTTTGGAAATTTAATGTTAAAAATACATGTAAATAAAGATGGGGTTAATCCAACCCATCCGACCCAAGATGAACAAGGACCAGGAAATTCGTAATATTTGTTCTATTGGTCTGTTTTTCTGTATTTGGTCTGAAATTGGTTGAAATTTTAGAGAAGTTTAACATTTTAAATGTTACACAGGTAGCACAAGATGCAAAATAGACAGACACAGAAAAAAACAGATGGCTATAAATCACCTGACTCAAGTGACCTAATAAAAAGGTAAAGTCTCAAAAAGGAAGGCCACAATTGACTTTTCGTCTAATTTTCTTTAAAATAAAACTGTCAGAATCATTACAAACCTTTCCTCTTGTGAATTTCTCTGAACAATTTCTCAACATCTCTAACGTCATGTTTTTTATGATCACTTGAGGTCGTCCAGATGCACATCTTACACAAGGTGACGTCACACGGGATACAGTACTTGGATAATGGATCGCTTGGATGTTTCTTGCATTTGAAATCTTCCAGAGGGAGACCTTTTAACAAGAAAAAAGAAAATAATAAAGAAATTGCTATAGCAGTTCATGGTAGTCATATATTTTCTTAATGATTCCCCAAATCAGGGTGAGTGTCACATTTTGATTTAATAACTGTATACTTGTCAAAGACGTTTTCATATTCCTTCATTTTTACCTTTTTTAGGTGTCTACTTCAATGTTCTAATAATCAAATATTTGATTCAAAAACATAAAAAAATCATTTGGGAGGATGATGCTAAAAGATCATTACAACTAAAGTCAGTGAATACTATTATTATGTAATTCATTAGTACAATGTAAACTCAGTAAACAGTGTATATCGATCCCCAACACATGCTTCAAATTCCTAGGCAGAGGTGTTTTAGTGACAGTGGTGTTTATATTAAAATTATGTCTTCTGTTTAAAATTATGTATTACAATTAGGGATGTCAAAATTGTCAATAATTGATATTCGAATATTCGATACGAGTATTCGAATATATTCGAATATTCGATAAAATAAATACATCTTGCATTATTAAATATAATCTTCACTCTCCTGTCAAACAGTATAGGTTTTATGCCATTATTTTGGAATAAAAACTCATGTAGAGTTCGAAAAATGCACTAAAATTATGTATTTATTTAAATTATTGAATAGTATGCATCCAAAATGTAAAAATTGTTTGTTGTTATTTTTTTTTTTAGAAAATTCAAAAAGATTCTTTTGTAATATTCCAGATTAATTGGTCGTCTTAGTAAAGTCTACACTTATAACTCCTACAAATTTATACCTAGCAGAACAATTATCCAACGGTGAAATATTAAAAGCAATTACTTTTTGCTAATTATAATTTCCTGATAATGATTTTTAATGATATTTAGATAAACAAGAAGTCTGTGTGTTTACTGTAAAACTGGGTCCTTACGGCGATACAAGCTGACTGGACACTATTATACCACTATTAAGTAAACAATTAAATAAATCACTCTTAGATACACACTTCACACCTTTAAGGTAATCTAAGAGGAGTGTTTTTTTTTATTTTGAACAGACTTGATTCACCTTCTAATAAAACGTGCCAGGTTTTTCTCTCTTTTTAATGATTGTATACTTTAAAAAAACGAATATTCGAATCTTAAATTTATATTCGAATATCAACTCTTCGAATGAATATTCGAATATTCGAATATTCGTTGACATCCCTAATTACAATACTACGGAGAATAAATTTAGTTTTCTCGATTGGAATAAAGAGAGTACTTGAAGAATGTCTGTCTATGAAACCTTGTGTGGCCCGCGTGGCGCAGTGTTTAGAGCTTCTGTTTTAGAACCACAAGGTAAGGAGTTAATCCTCACATCGCAGGTTTATATTCAATTGTGAAATGTGGAGACGGTCTTTCTGACGAGACAGTATAAACCAAGGTTCCAGTGTCGATGTAGATCGTGGCACGATAAAGATCCCTCACTACGTAATGGCCCGGAGTGCTGAGCATAGGTCAAAAGTTGCAGCTCTCCACTCGCAAATGATGGTTTCTCTATATGAGTAGAAAATTCTCGAGAGGGATGCTAAGCAACAAACAAACAAAATCAACTTCTGTTTTGAATTAAAAGTCCCCCTCCAAACCTCCAATCTTAAGCCTTCCCCCTCCGCCCTCACCTCACATACCATACCCATTTAACAGTTAAATAATCCCTAACAATTGTAGTGACCTATAAACAGTAAGTCAAACATTAAACCACATTAGTAAATTCCCTTATCCCCTTGCTTTATTCAAATTGACAGCGCACTATATGTATTATTAAGATTAAGCTACAATTATTACAATTAAGTTAAAATTGTAAATTAAACAATTAACTTACAATTAAGCTTCTTCAAACAATCAATCGCTAGTTCAAAACTTGGCACGGGTACATGATGTAGAATAAAATATGTAAAATAATGCAAAATTTGATCTGCTATAAATCAGTTTGTGACAAAGATAACGAAGTTGAAAACTTTATGTTCCTTAACCAGGGACACATTATTAGAACATTAACTGAATACTTTGTATATTGTATAAATAATGTTTTTAGTTCAAATACATCTATAATTAATATACGAGGGGTTTTCAAAAAGTTCGTGGACTGGAGCAATAAAATTAAAACCGCTTTTGGTATATATCAATGTGTTTTAAAATATACCGATAGCATCATCTTTTCTATGTATAGAAAAAACCAGAAATAATAATTTTTATTTTTTGAAATAAATTTATCATGTTTTTGTAAGGATTGGTTTGTCTAAGCGGCGCAACCTCGAAAATGACGTTTTTTTTTTGCACTAAGTATTACCGTTATGAACATTTGACATAAAAAATCCCATTAATTCAGGTTTGTGATGAGACGGTATCTTTCCGTAAAATATGCAATTTTGACATCATTCTGTAATTTCTATTAAAATTTATTGTATATTTTATATGGAGTGTCCAGACAATTAGGGGCTTTATAGTGACGTCAAAAGGAGGGAGGGGTTTCTTTTTCAAACACTTTATCAAGTTTTGCGCCTAACAAAAAAACTTTCATTGACCTATGAAATATATAATCTGGCAAGTCAAAAATAGAATGCATCCAAAGAAATTGATTTTAATTTCAAAATAGATTCGGAGAAAAAGGATTGAACTTTCTATGTCAATTTGTACTCAAGGTGTGAAAAGTCAATCACGTCAAAAAATGAAAGAAAAAGTGAGCAAGCTCACATAACCCACGCTCCCCAAAAACTCAAAATGTTGAAAATCCCGGAAAAAATGAAAGAATAAGAATTTCCCGGTAATATGCACATCTACACATTGTGTCCTAAATATCTGCAAAGTTTGATGAAATTCATTCTGTGCAGGGGTTTATGAGGAGTTGCGCTGACAAACTGTTCATCACTATATTCAAGATATCCCCAAAAATCTAGTTGTAAAGTGTCGAAATTCCCAGAAAAATAAAGGAATCGGAATTTTCTGGTAAAATGCACATCTTTACATTGTGTCCTAAATATCTGCCAAGTCTGACAAAATTCTGTGCAGCGGTTCATGAGGGGTTGCACTGACAAATATTCATCTGTATATTCAAGGTATGGCAAAAAATCTAATTTGAAAAGTGCAAAAATCCCCAGAAAAATAAAAGATTCGGAATTTCCTGGTAATATGCACATCTACACACTGTGTCCTAAATATCTCCAAAGTTTGACGGGTTATGAGGAGTTGCGCAGACAAAATCTCCATCTCTATATTCAAGGTATGGACAAAAATCTAAGTTGAAAAGTGTGGAAATTCTAAGAAAAAATAAAGGAATTAGAATTTCCTTGTAAAATGCACATGTACAAACTGTGTCCTAAATGCCTACAAAGTTTGACGAAATTCTGTGCAGAGGTTTATGAGGAGTTGCGCTGACAAAAAAAGGACTGACTGACTGACGGACGGACGGGTCAAAAACATTATACCTCACGCAACTAGTTGCGTGGGGTATAAAGACATTGATTATTTGTGGAAGATATTGATCTCAAATAGCAAACTACTAGTATGCTGGCACAATCAAGCAAGGATCTCTCCTAATGCATAAATCCATATGCAATATTACATGTATTGAAAGCAGCCTTATATGACATTATATATACAATCAGTGTAATTTTCTTTATGAAATCCATTAGAAATCCACGACATTCATATCTCTATAACACACGCGAAACATTAGGAACAGTAGGAACTTTGATATAATTTTCAATACTCTTGAATATCAAAATGTACATTATTTCGGCTGAATTCAATTCAGAAGCTTTAACTTTGTTAAATCAACATGAAGATGCAACAAATGTGTATTTAAAATTAATTTGTCACCTTTTCTCCTCGCAATGTTCGTTTGCGCCATTTTACTTTGCAAGGTCACAAACCTTAAAAACGGCTGTAACTTATATAAAGCACACCAAATTTGAAGGGCGCTAAATTCACATTAAAGACTACATAAATAAACAATTATGAAGGTGAAAAAATGGAGAATGTTAATAAAAGCATTGAATTCATATTTCGGGAAGTCTTCGGTCCTATAACACACCTGACCGAGCCGACAAATTATCATACCGCGCTAACGCGAGATATTCAATTTGACGGCACGCCCAGGTGTGTTATAGGACCAAAGGCATCCCAAAATATGAATTCAATGCTTAAGTAAAGACAAGACGGGTATATGTCCTTATTCAAATCCAGGAAACTTCAACAAGATAAGTGTATGAGGTAAAAGAATTATCGAAACGTTTAGGGCCGTCATAAAATTAAACGACGACAGCGCCGAGTGATCATAGAATTTCGTTTTCATTTTATTATAATTTGGCAAATATTGGAAAAGCATATAGCTAAAAATTTAATCATTTCTTTATTTTTTGTTGTTTTATGACGTATTCTCAATTAACAATGGTGATTTCCATTCCTACGCCGATTCGATATATCCAGAATAGCTTAAAATAAAAGATACCGCAGACGCTGACATCTTTTTCATACTTGGATATTTTACTTGAAAAAGACATTAAAAAATAATGAAGGCTTATTTTGATTCGAATGACCATCACTGAAAGTGTTAGAAAGCGTTTCATTATATATGTGTTATCAATCGCATCTTCTCGGGTCTATTCTGAGAGTACATATACTTGTTACGGAAATAAATTGTAACCCTTGTATCATGTATGATTTATAAGATTTTAATATTGAATATATGTATTAAATGTGTACGTATGAACAATTTCTTAAACGAGGTAAATTATTGACAAACAAGTTGATGAAACAAGAATATCAACAGTCTCGTTTAAAGGCATCATTTCGTAAATTCTATGGTCGATACAATGACCTTGTCAGCAAATACAATTCATCATTGAGTCAAATGCTGACTGACGTTTTTCATACCAATTGTTAGACCATTATTTATACACTGAATTGACAACGAATTTTTCCGTTATTTTCTGAGCACACGGCGAGTGTGACTGGTCAGCAGGGAATACTCACTCCTCCATGGCACCTGATCCCACCTCTGATGTTTCTGTGTTTTTTCTGCTCTTGTTTTGTATTGTTTTATGGACTTTGAGACTGAATACTGTTCGTTATCTCCATATCCTTCTTCTTTATAAATTTTGTAAGCACAGACAACGTACTACAGTGTATTAATTTATTCGCCTAAGTCCACGAACTTTTTGATAAACTCCTTGTATATTCATCTTAGATATATTTCAAGTTGTAATTAAACTTATTATGCAATGTTGTACAAATTGAACACAATTACTAAATTCTTTCAATAATGCCTTCCACAGCTAGTAATTATTAAATTATCCTCCTCATATTGTGTATACACTATATTGCAAAACAATTAAAATAGTTAAAGATACTTTACTATAACTATCCATACAATATTACTTACTGGTCAGATAATCGTTGTGTACCAACATTCTGTATAAGTTCACTGTGTTGCCCCGATATGACCCTACCCACAGTGTGTTGGTGTTTTCAACATAACTCAGGCCCCACGGTATGTCTATCCCGTGTGGTCGTGTCTGTATCTGTGACCGGAAGTGACCGTCACAGTAAATTATCTGTATTGATTGGGTGTTAAGATCACACACCAGGATGTGTGACAGCGCGTCTGTACATATTCCTAGTGGTGCTAGTCCTGATCCTGTTGGAGGTCCTGTATAGGAGAGGCGATAACTTCCTCCACGATCTGTCACGACTACAGCACGTCCAGACCAGTCAGACACAATAATATCCCCATTACGATTCTCTGTGATATAGCTAGGCATGCTATACAGATCCTGACCTGTGATGTTGTTGTGCTGTATGGCTTGTATGTAATGTCCTGATTTGTTATAACGGTTTACTTTTGCTGTATCTGTATCAGTATTATACATCCCGACCAGCAGGTCTCCAGTGGAGGGGGAGCTGTAGACACACCGTGGTCTCCATGGTGACGTGTTGTACTTTATTAATGTAATCTTTACTTTGTTCTCTGTAGAAAGTTTGTTGATGTTATACACACTATCTATATAAATTAAATCACCATCATTGTTCACAGTGTGAACTCCAGCACCACTAGCTATATCTATCAGATGATATAGTTTGTTAGCTGTTGTGTTTGTCAAGATAAGATGGCCATCACTATCACTTATCCAGACCCGGTCTGACGTCACACAGGAAATGTGACGACCACGACTAATAACTGGCATTGTGACAGATTTCCGTAACACGGCTCTATACATTTTTACTGTGGACATCGTCTTTTTCCTTTTGTTTTATAACAGAATCCCGTGTTGATCAGTCAGGGAAATTTCTCCGTAAATAACAACACAGTGCTAGAATCATTGACATTAATAACATAAATTTTCTTAACAATTTTTAAATGTTACTATATGCATCATTAGATAATAGTCTATTTAAAAAATGAATACTGTCTGAATTCTGATTTGCATGATATTCATTCACATGTAACTGAAGACTTTCTTTATTTTGCATATTAACATATATATATATATATACATTATACAACGTTAACTTATTTATTTTCAATCAATGAATGACTCTAAGTATTGGCCAAATCATTCGACAATAACCTGGTCTTGGTCAATATACGCTATGGAACGCCATCACTGCCTTATAGCATAAAACTATGCATTCATTATGTCAATCTATCATTACGTGATGTGAACATATCTTTACGTTATGTCAATTTCTAATGGGGTGATGTGAAAATATCTTTACACCATGTCAGTGCTGCATTACATGAAGTAAACACATTCTTCCATTATGTCAGCACTTTATAACTTGAAGTCGGAAGTTCATTATATGAAGTGAAAATATGTTCATATTGTGTTAAAACTTTATTACGTGAAATGAATGTTTCTTTATATTATTTCATTTCTTTAATATGTGAGGTCAAAATTGCATTACGTCAAGTAAATTGTGTTTTATAATTAAACTTATCATTACATGAAGTCAAAATTCCATTCCTTTTTGAGAATGTATATGTCTATTATATCAAAGCATTATTACGTGATATGGATTTATCTTTATTAAACGGCGAGAGCATCATGAAGTGAGGTGAACACATCTTACCTTTATGTCAGTGCTTTATTACGTGGTGTTAAAAGTGTATAACATAATGTGAACATATCTTTATATTATATCAACACTTTATTACATTATGTCAAAACTCCATTCCGTGATGTGGATATATAATTACGTTATGTCAACTCTTTCTTATGTGATTTAAAAAATATCTTTATATTGTGTTAACTCTTTATCATGTTGATTCCAAAAGTTTTGATGTGAAAATACGTTTACATTATCTGAAAGCTGTATATCTAGTATAATAATGAATGTTGACGACCGTGTTTTAATGACTCGTACGAGGGGGGGGGGGGTCCCGATTGAGTAGGACGAATTATAGACACATAATATCAGCCCCCCTCTTTTCCCATACATAACCTTATTTTAGAAAATGTATTGTTCATTGAAAGTTCAGTCCCCACCCCCACTTATTGTTGAAGTATAGTCCACTAGGGGTAATGTAGTATAACTGAAAAAATATAGGACTGATCGAAGTCGGACCCCCTCTCCGAAATAGGATTTTCGGGTTTGGACAATTTTTTTGGCTTGTCGAGTTTTTTTTGGGGGGTAAATAATTTTTTTCTTTCTGGCTGACATCCTCTTTCAAATAAATGCTATGTCACGGAATTAGTTACAGTAATTTTTTCAACCATTCCAAGACCAGAATTCTGTTAAAAAAATCTACCAGTCCCTCTTCTAAATCAATTGAATATGCCTTAATAAGCATGCATGGGCACATATTTGTGGCGCATATGGGAATCTTGAAAAAAGAAGGGGGACGGTATAGAGTCGGTGACCAAAGGGGGAAAGCGGAAAACTCCCCGGCAGGCTTTATAGTTTTATAGAAAAAAGTTTTCAATTTAATTCAGCTAAACTTAATGTGAAAGTAATGCAATGTCCTACATTGTAAAACTAATAAATTTATTAATTTTATGTATATTTTGGTGACTAAAGATGGTAGGACGGGATTTCTACCCCCCTCCCCAACCCGCCAGTGCACGTGTGTTATACGATATATCTGTTTACACTTTAAAAAAGGAGAGTTAAAGACTGATAAAAAATACAGTGTTCTGAGTAAGATCAGAAGTTTAAGATTTTTATTTAAAAAAAAAAAAGCAATTCAGAAAAAAAAAATGCTGCACGACTCATATTTGATTTATTTAATTATCAGATAAAAGTAAACGCCATTGAATTTCGGCGCGTGACTTTAATTCACAGTCGCAGTGTTAAGGCTTTGCATGTTTCAAGATTGTCAATCATTTTTCGCTTAAAGTTTTCATTTGAAGATGCAATTCCCAAATCGCTGAGAATTTAATTTATGACAGTTTTCTCTCCCGCCATTTTTAGTGCTTTCGGAAAGCGGAAAATACGTTATGCTCATATAAAGGCCGAGGATACCCGTGTTCGCATAACGTAATAGTGAATCGACATAATGTAGAAGAGTGCGCACAGTATGACATGAGCTTTTCACATCTGATATGAGATGAAATAGCCTAAGATACATGTATGCTGACAAGAGGCTTAGCATTTTTGACACAATGTAAAGACACAATGACATAACGTAATAACGATTTGTCAAAAAGTAAGGGCAAATTCACATCATGAAATTGATTCACGTCGTCATGTAGCATATTGAAGGCATAAAGTAGTAAAAGAATTGACCACATGTGACAATTTTTTCAGATAATGTAATGAAATTCTGACATCGTATTATAGCGAATTGATATTGAGTTAAAGATAAATTCACATCATGTAATGAACTACTTAGAACAAATAGTAGAGAGTGCACATAATGTAATAATGAGTTGAAAATATATAAAACATTTTTACACCACGTAAAATTGTTTTGACTTAATGTCATAAAGAGCTGATATAATGCAATGGAAGATTAGCACAATGTAATTAAAGTACGAGTTAATGCCATAAAGACTAAACATAATGTAATTGAATGTTGACATAACGCAATAGTAGTGTGTGTAATTGTCATAAGGAGTTGACATAATGTAATGAAAGGTTGACACAATGCAATAGTAGTGTGGACTAATGTCATAAAGAGTTGACATAATATAATGGAAGGTTGACATAGTGCAATAGTATTGTGGGTTAATGTCATAAAGAGTTGACATAATATAATGGAAGGTTGACATAATGCAATAGTAGTGTGAGTAAATGTCATAAAGTGTTGACATAATATAATGAAAGGTTGACATAATGCAATAGTATTGTGGGTTAGTGTCATAAAGAGTTGACATAATATAATGGAAGGTTGACACAATACAATAGTAGTGTGAGTAAATGTCATAAAGAGTTGACATAATGTAATGTAAGGTTGACATAATGCAATAGTAGTGTGAGTAAATGTCATAAAGTGTTGACATAATGTAATGGAAGGATGACGCAATGCAATCGTTGTGTTATGCTATAAGGCAGTGACGGCGTTCCATAATACGCTCTATCCGCGAAGCGGATGATAAAACAGAGTAAACTGACCCAAACCAGGTTACACTCCAATAATTTGGCCAAGAGTGAAAGCCATTCTTCATAATGTAATTTTAATTTAACTTTAAAATCACTAAACAAACGTGGTTGTAAAATGTCGTTGATATTTATTAGTTCAAATTTTCCGCTCAATAATACAACCTTAAGTAACGGAAGTAATGGGAAGCGAGGAAAGGTAAAACAGATATATGTAGCAGCCATGGTGTTTGTTTACAAGTGGTAAGATCGAATAACTATTAGAATTTAAAGATACATTTATTAACCCTTGAATTTTCCATGAATCCCGTGGACTGGAAATGAGAGGATTGCATGATTCAATTGTTGTCGGGCCGAGGGGGGGGGGGTGTCCCCATACCAACCCAGGTTATAAAGAAATAATTTGCGTTCATTTTTGGATATATAGTGTAGTATTTTTCTACACTAGGAAAGAGAGATTTTGTAGAAGTTTCATCTTTTCTGGCCCAGTGGTTTTTCAGAAGAAAACAAAAATTGAACCAATCTAAGTTTACATAGAAAAAAGTGGCTTACATGAACTTCAGTGAAATTCTTCGCTTGAGAAGGAGACGAAAAGAATCATGCATGATTACACATGAAAATATAACCCATCATTTACTTGAAATTCGCATGAATATCATGCTAAAAGAAATTCGCATGAAATTTATATGAAAAAGAACTGTTTCATATGTAAATCATACACAGACAAGCATTAGTAGCATATATTTTGAACCCCCAGAAATTAAAATCAAACTAATATCTATGGGTGCCCCAAAAGCTCAATCCATTAATTTTATCCGTCTTCCATGAAAACAGAATTTTTGCCTCTTTGCAGTTCTTACAAATGATTTTTTTTCCTTTTATTTCAATAATTTAATAGCTACTCCCTTCCTTACCTAGTCAGTTAATTCAGATACAAGTAATGCGAATTAAACAAAACGTTACTTTAAATTTGAAAGAATCAAAACGTGTTTCTGGACTCCCTGAATAAATAAAGACATTTGTGACATCAAATTCTACATTAAAACTGCAACCATTGATTATTATCTATCTTCTTTATTGAGATCACTTCACATAGAATTTCTTTATCTTGAGGATTCTGGAGTGGTTAGAAGTTGTTGTTAGTAAAAAAAAAAAATACAAATTTTAAACAATCTAAAAGGCTACTAAAATTAGAATTGGACAATATATGATAAAACTATAAGATGTATAATTCCTTTCCTAGTATATCGCTAACTATTATAATTAAAAGGGGAGTACCTATCACTTTTTATGGTTTTATTGAATTGACTTTAGGAAACCATGCAACTTTAAGATGCGTATGTTTTTATTATACGAATATTTCCAAGCTAAACATGCTCTTATTCGGCTATAAATCCACAAAAATACCTTCCAAAAAGTATTTAAAACTTTTAAAAATGATTCTTCACAAAGGTATTCCCAAACTGATATAAAACAGATGCTTAATATTATATTTTACAGTATCATTGTAATATTCGGAGACCAGGTATTCCAAAAATGTGCTGATATGTTAATGAGTAGTAGTTATGTCGTTATTAAGATACCTGTTTTACATTCCTAAATAACAGAATTTCTTCAAACACTTCTATATGAACAGAAAAAGTCCCTTGCTTGTTACCTTCAATTCGACATTTAGATATATTAAAGATGTTTGATCAATAATCAATATTCATTTTCATTGCTACATTCTATAAAGCTCCTCAAACTCTAAATAAAAGGACAATATAAAGTCTCACACATCTGTTTCATGTTAAGATGGTTTAATTAAAAAA